ATCTGAAAAGCACCTGCATAGTCTTCCTGTTGGTATTCAGTACATAATCATTTGGTTAGCATATAAACATTTATGGAATTTTGCCCCATGAGTAGATATTTTATAGATGTATACCAATATTTTTTGACCTTACAAGGACCTGGGGACAATGGGAGTGCCAAATTAACGATAATTATCTTGTCACCAAAAAGGTGTTAATTGGTGTATTTTCTTTTTCAAGAACCTTTTCCTGTTGTTGTTTAAAGACTACTGTGCTTCTAGCTAGTAATCACCATACTGGGAAAACAATAACACAGGCAATACCTTTAAGAACAAGTCATTAAAAAACAAAACAAAATAATGTATGTGGGTCATCCCTTGGCCAATGTGGGGCCAGAGAGAAGTTGTTCTACTGGTTTTCCTTAAAGAGCACCATAACCTAACCTGAATCCAGGATGGTTTCTAAAATATGTATAGAACGAATGTTAACTAATTCGTTCTATAAAAATATGTATAGAACTATACATATAGTTCTATAGTTCTATACATATTTTTATAGAACAAATTAAATATGTACAGAAAATGTTAACTAACCATCAAACCATGGTTACCATGGTTTAGCAATGGTAGGAGACCCAAAAATTCAGAAGCACTGTAATACTGTTTGTGATATTAATAAAAAATGAGGTCATGAGATCATGGAAAAGGTTTCTGAGAAAAATATCCCATCAATTTTATTCACTAGAAAATGGGAATAACACAGGCTGTGTACATATAAGCATAATTAAAATAAAACTGATTAGGCCAGTTGCAGTGGCTCACACCTTGTAATTCCAGCACTTTGGAAGGCCAAGGTGGGTGGATCACGAGGTTAGAGTTCCAGACCAGCCTGACCAACAAGGTGAAACCTTGTCTCTACTAAAAATACAAAAACTAGCCGGGTGTGGTGGCACGTGCCTGTCATCCCAGCTGCTTGGGAGGCTGATGCAGAAGTGCTTGAACCTGGGAGGCGGAAGTTGCAGTGAGCTGAGATGGGGCCACTGAACTCCAGCCAGGGCGACGGAGCAAGACTCTGTCTCAAAAAAAAAAAAAAAGAAAAAGAAAAAAGGAGAGAAAAAAAAAAGGAAACTAGACCTATCAGTATTGACGTTAAAAGCTTTACTTTGTAACTCCTGAGGTTACTTTATCAAATCTGATTATCAGTATTTTAAAACTTACAAAATGGAGAAATTGATAGAGGCTTTTAAACATTATAATGGAATTTTTCACTTTTCAAAATCAATTTGCAAAGGGAACCTATAGGTTGAACAGTAAGATGTGTCAACAAATCAGGGATTTAGATTTTAAAAGGTTTTCAATCTGACCAATACTTCAGATTATCTCAAGAGGGAGCCTTCTTAGGTCTCTCCTTCCTTCAGAACACTCTTCTGGCTCTCATGTCTTGTTTACAAAGATTTAAGCCCACTGGTAGAAAGGAATAAATGCTCTTACTGACATGACCCCTAACTTGCCTAATATTTTGCCATCTACCATCCACGCACTTTAAGCTCCCGAAACTATTAATTACTTGACACACTTTCTGCGCTGTTGCCAGTTCTCTTCGGCTAGACCATCTTCTCCACCTTCTCTGTTGAACTCCTAGCCATTCATCAACACTCAGCTCACACAGCACACTTCCATATGACTCAAGCATTATCTCTCTGGCTACATTTGGTCCCTGCAGGTTTTTCTATTACTGCCTGCAATTTGTTGAAGCATTCGTGTCTTTTACGTACTATATAGTATACAATACATATGCATTACAAAGCATTTTTATAATTGATGTTTTAAGGCAGCCAGCGGCTAAAACAGGGCAAGGGTTCGGTGGTCTTGGGCAAGTCCCTTTTCCTTTTTGACCTTCAGGTTCCTCAGGTGTAAAACGGGTACTATGGCTCCGCGAAGGTGAGAATAGATGTAAAGCCCTTACACAGAGCTCAATTCATGAAAACCATCGTTGTTTACATCGCTTAGGGCCCTCAAGAGGGGCTCTTGTCAGCGGAGTTGAGGAAATGCCCCTTTAAAATGACGTCATTATAGGACACTTAAAAACCACCACACGTCTGTACAAGTGGACAATATCACACAGCTACCTAAAGTGGGTTCGCCTGTCACACAGTTTTGGGGTTCCACTTACAAGAGGTTTCCATCAGTAGGCAAGGGAACAGAAATTTTAGCGGCTGAGGGCTTCCCGGGATTACCGCAGGGCGGCTGGAAGCGCCTTTACGGCCGGGTGGGAAGGCCGCATCCCCACGGGACTACGTGAGGGCCTATGGCAAAAACCACCACCTAGACGGCCAGGGGTCCCTCTCTCGGTGACTGGTGACCTGGAGACCGCAATCTCTTCACATGAAAGGTCTACGGGTTTCCGCCCAGCCCACACAGCCGCAGCGGAACGAACCGGGAACGCAATTTCCGCGCAGCTCTGCTCCGGTCCAAGGCCCAGGAAGACCGGACCGTGGGGTCTCCTCGCACTCCACGCAGGGGCGGCGGGGCGGGGCGCAGTGACGCAAAAAAGAGTGACGCGACGGCGCAGCGCGACGCGGTGACGCACGCCCCTTTGTTGGCTCAGTAGCGATAGCAGCGGCCGTGGAGGTGGCGCTGGGGACTGTTTCTTCTCGGAGCCCGGAGCGGAGCCGCGACTGACTGAGGCGGGCAGCAAGCGGCCCCCTCGCTCCCTCCCTCTCTCCTCCGCTCCCTCCCCGCCGCCACCAGCCGCCAGCCGCCGCTCCTGGGGAGGCGCCGCGGCCCGTGGGGCCGGAGCCAGGCCTGCGTCCGGACATTAGCCGGAGCCGGAGCGAGAGCCGGGGCCTCGGCGTCCCCGCCCTCTCCCCGCCTCGGCCAGCGTCCGCCGGGCGTCCGCGCGTCGCGCCATGGACTCGGACGAGGGCTACAACTACGAGTTCGACGAGGACGAGGAGTGCAGTGAGGAGGACAGCGGCGCCGAGGAGGAGGAGGACGAAGACGACGACGAGCCGGACGACGATAACCTGGATCTGGGCGAGGTGGAGCTGGTGGAGCCCGGGTTGGGCGTCGGCGGGGAGCGGGACGGACTGCTGTGCGGGGAGACGGGCGGTGGCGGCGGCAGCGCTCTGGGGCCCGGCGGTGGCGGCGGCGGCGGCGGTGGCGGCGGTGGCGGCGGGCCGGGGCACGAGCAGGAGGAGGATTACCGCTACGAGGTGCTCACGGCCGAGCAGATTCTACAACACATGGTGGAATGTATCCGGGAGGTCAACGAGGTCATCCAGGTGAGGGTGGCCGCCGCGTCAGCTGAACCGGGCCCGACGGGGGAGCGGATTCGGGCGGCCCGCGCGGTCCCCAGGGACAGGCCTGGGCCTGGTGCGCAACCCAGCCGGGTGCTTCCCGGCCTTGTCTTCTCCGCTGCCTCTGCTGGGGATAGAGGGTGTCGAAAGCAGAGGTTCGCTGGTTATCCGGGTGTGGGGAGGTGCGCTGGGGGCGGTGCTTCCCAAGTCCTGCTATGGCGGAGGGCTTCGGCCGCCTAAGCCTTCTCTTGCGGGCAATTTCTGCCAGTCTCCGGGCCCTGTGTCCTTCCTCCGGCCGATCGAGCGCCTGCTGGGGCGGGGCGGAGGAGTGGGTTGGGATGGGGAAGAGGAGTCAGGAAGAATTGGGCCCCGACGAGGCTTACCCCGGCCTTAGCCTCATTTGAGCACTTTTGGAAAGGATTAGGGTAGGCCTAAGAGCAGCTTGGTGTACAGTTGCCCCAAGTGGGCACCAGTTAATAAAGAAATGGATCTTCTTGGCAGTCTCAAGTGCCTACTTAAAGGTGGGGGAAGGGAACTATTTCTCGGAAGAGGTGCTGATGGGCCGCCTTTTCAGATGTTGCGGCTTGTGCTCACATCTTTTTTACGTCTTTGCTGTTTGTGACCTAACTGCTACTTTTTCTAGTCGTAGCATATGACTTGCTTGAAGCTGTTGGAATAGTTAACTGCATATTGCATACCCATCCTTGTAGCTAAAACAACAACAAAACGCAGTGTTGTCTAATATTGAACAACACTCTATTGTGAGTTAGAAAGCAGAGGCTTTCTGCCTCTGCACTCCTTTCTCTGATATTTTCTATTTCGTGGTAAGTTAGGCTTGGTGTAAATTGATAGCTACATCTCATTTAACCATGTGTGTTAATGTCAGATTTTTGCATTTTTGTATTTTCGAGCTTCAGAAAATCAAGTTTTCATTTGTTTGGGGGAAAAAAACCTACTTGTCCTGAGGAATCAGGGAGAGATGAAGAATAAAAATGAAGCTTGGTTCAGTGCAACTTTTAGAAAACCTGGAAACGCGTTACTATTGCTTCTTGCATGTCAATCATTATTTCTTTAACTTAAATTCGTTGGCTCAATATTCATTGACAAATTAGAAGTATGTTACTGGCTACTCGTTGACTTTACATTGTTAACAGATTTTTATAGTATTATAAGTAACAGTTTTAAAAATTAAACCTATTCAGGCAATGTTTGAATACAGTGTTTTGCATGATAAGAAAAATCTCTGATATGTAGAGCTGTTACTAAATAGTGGAAGTCTTAGTTTTTAATATAAAGAACATAGTCTAAGAAGGAAGTTGAGGATTGTAGAAGACACACACACACACACACATACAGATATATATATATATATATATATATATATAATTTTTTTTTTTTTTTTTTTTTTTTTGAGACGGAGTCTCGCTCTGTTGCCTCAGCCTCCCGAGTAGCTGGGACTACACATGCGCGCCACCATGCCCAGCTAATTTTTTGTGTTTTTAGTAGAGTTGGGTTTCGCCATGCTGGCCAGGCTGGTTTCGAACTCCTAACCTCGTGATCCACCCGCCTTGGCCTCCCAAAGTGCTGGGATTACAGGCTTGAGCCACTGCACCCAGTCTGTAGAAGATAAATTTTAAAGCTATTTTATTGATTCTAAAAATATGACAATTGAGTTCTTAGGTAACTAAATTGAGAACTTTTTTTTTTTTTTTTTTTTTAAGGGAACTTCATTAAAATAATTTGCAGTAAAACTGAATGGTCTTTTCATTTTTCTGCAGCTATATAAAATCTGTCCTCAAATTTATCACCTAGCTTACTGGCATTTGAATTAGCTTTTTAAAAAATCATGCTTATTCATTATTTAACTTTTTGACTTATTTACATTCTGTTTTCTTAGAGTTAAACATCATCAGCTTAGTTGTGTCCTAATCATTGAGGCCAAAAAGTTGTGTGTCACTTTTGCAACAGAAATATAGCTAATACATACGACATCATTCTTTATTAGCTTAGGTGAGAGAAAATAAATGCCGATGAAATGAACTAATAAGACCTACAAAAAACTAGGGGTTTTTTTTTTTTTTTTTTTGGTGTCCTACTTTTACCATGTTTCCATGCCAGATGTTTGGGAAAACTCGTTTTCTAGTGTATTTCACCATAAGGATGCTCTTAATAGAATTCCTGAACATATAAGTTATAGCCATACCTTGTTAAAATAAAATTTAGAAATAGCAGTAAATCAAAGTGTAGGATGTATCCCAGACCAGCTCTTCTCTGAATGGTATACAGTAATTACTAGGTCTAAATTAGGCTTTTGTTATGTTGCAAGTTAATAGATTGAGACTTTAGTCATACAGGTAACGCATGCACATGTAAGAAAAATCTGATTAGGTAAGAAAAAATAAAAAGATAAAATAAGCCTGCCACCCAGAGACCTACACCAAAAAGTGAACTGTAGTTATTTTTCTAGACCTTTGGATAGCCATTAATATGGTTCCACATTAATAACAGTGAAATCATACTGTATGTTCTTTTTGTGTTTTCAGTGGTAAAACATTACAAAAACAGATTTTCTGAACAACCTTCTGTCAGGTAACTTTTTCAAGAGCTTATATGATTATAGATCTAAACTAATTTATTTAATCTGTTATTTTCTAGTTTCTGGCTTTTATAAACATCATTGAAAATATCCTCATAAGTCAGTCTTTGAGTGTTCTTATTTTCTTGGGAAAAGGAGAAGTGCTGAGTCAAAAGAATTTGCTCATTTTCAAGGCAGTTGATTAATACCACTACATTGCTTTCAGAAAGGTTATGCTAGTTTTCCCAACCAGTCGGTGTTTGGCAAAAACAAAAAAACAACTGATGAGATTGAAGTTTATCACGTTTATTGGGCCTGGTATTTTTAAATTGCCCCTTGCCTTTTGTTCATTTTATCCTCTTTTGCCCATTGCCCCCGTTTGGGATATTTATCTCTTACTGAAGACTTCTTTGTATTAATAGAGGTTGGAAATACCAGTTATCTAGGTTTTTAATGTTGGTTTGATAAACATGTTTTACCAAGTTAAAAAACACTGAGTTTTATTTAGTTTGCATTAGAGAGCTTACTGTTAACCCTACAAATTTAAGTTCCCTGTTCCCAGTTCTGATTTTTTTTTTTTTTTTTTGAGAC